GAGTCACGCTATTTTTCTTCTTTTCCTTTGGGGGTGGCAAATAAGACTGAATGGCAGTAACTTCCTCGCTTTCCTTTTCTGACATTAATGGATGTTATAAAAAGATAAATCTATCAGACGAGACACCCCCTACTGCAGACAGCTTTACAAAATAAAACGGTTAAGATTTTCTGGATGGGGCCAGCAGGTGGAGTGGTGGTTAAAGCGTTGGACTCACATGGCCAACCATGGTTCAAGTCTCAGTCCCAGCATGAAACTCAGGCTGGGCACATGTGCACACAAGCCCAAAATCCTGGGAGGAGAACGGAGAAGGAATTGTAGCATGCCATTGTCCCTGGAGGGGTGATTTCTCACTTTCCCTCTCACAACGGTCTCTCTCCAATGAGCCCATGTGCTCTATGGCAAGAATCTTTAAAAAAAAAATAATAAAAAAGGACAATGTATATATATACATATACACACACACACGTAAATTTACATACATATATACACATAGATATATATACAAAATATGTGTGTGTGTATATACACGAAACCTTAGAAGCTTAGAGTAAATATTCGCATAGAGAACACTAGACACATACCTGTAAAAGAGCTGAAATGTGAGTAAACTTTCTAGCCATCCGAGTCACTTCAGGTAAGAAAGAATACAGTAGGTTGGTTTCCAGCTGCAGGATGAAAAGAATAATGGGAGTGACAGATGCACTTGTGTCTTTCAAAAATGAGTCCATCATCAGACTGGCTCCATGGCCTGGTGGTTAAGCAGCAGCTAGGTTTCCTACAGCTGGCCGCAGTTTGAATCCCAGCCCTGGCGGCCTGGGGACCACAGTGGCACGCATGCCCATGTCCTGACGGATGGAGAGGGAGGACACGCCCCACTGGTCATCCCTCTCCCTCTCCGTCTCCCTGTCTCTGGTGTGTCCACGTGCTCTCTGGCGAAACTAAAAAATAAATGGATAAATCCTGCCCAGCTTTATAAACCTCCTATAATTTGGGACCAGCAGATGGTGTAATGGCTACATCACCGGACTCACACATAGGCAACTGTAGTTCAAGTCCCGGACCCTGTGGCTTAAAACTCACACCAGGCGTGTGTGCGTACGTGCCCAAAATCCTAAGAGGAGAGGAAAGGAGAAGGGACTGCGGCATGGCCACCCCCTGGGGGATGATTTCTCATTTTCTGTCTCTCTGGCCAGTGCATGAGGCAAAAAAATCTCTCAAAAAAAAGTTATGAACTTCACCACACACCACACAGCACATCTGCTCTGTTTATGAGTTCAGGGCTCGTGTGTTCTTAGGTCACGGGGCTGGATTAAATGCAGAGTGGAAATTCCGGCTCGGTTTCTTACTAAGACAGGGCTGCTTTCCAAACCTGCTATGAGTGTCTAAAGGGTCTGACGATCTAGAATACACTCAGCTCACGATGAAACAGATTGTTCCCAGTAAGAACTGATCACGTTACACCAGAGGCCGTGTGCCGAGGAAGAACACGGACCTCAGAGCCTGATGGCTGAGCACCACTTTCCAATTCTGTGACATGGAGCTAGCTCCAGGTCTCTGTGTGCCGTGAACTCACCTGTAACATGGCGGTAGTAATACCACCACCTCCTCCCTGTTAGGTTGTTGTGAGAACACCAGTGAATTATTTGAAACACTCAGTACTTAGCACACACTAAACAATCAGTAGCTAATTGGCGGCATCATCATCGTTATTATTATTATTATGGACCTATTAGGAGCAGAGTCCTAAGAAAACATTCTGTACGAAGTTAATTGGTTAATAGCGAAACGGTCACTAAGAGACCAGATCAGAATACTGTTTCCACGGCAACGATACTGAAACGCGAAGGCAACCGTGGGATCACACCCGTAACACTCAGTGTGTAAGGACTGGAAGATGCCGAGCTTGCTTTACTTTAAGGACGACTGGAATATACTGAAGAACAGATAATAAGGTCCTACGAACTATGTATTTCCTGCTTGCCGCTATCCAGTTTCCGTACTCACTTGAAAGTATGAAACTTCGGCAGCGCCGCCGGTAGACACCTCTGTGACCACTGATAACGACTTCAAGTCACTCGACAGACACAGCGCGAGACAAGTGCCAGCGATCTGAAAAGCGGTCGACCCCCGGGACAGTTAGTACGACTGCCAGGCTGCGCTGGCTTCACTGAAAGCTTTCGAAGGTAAACACGTGCCCCTGGCTCCTGGCACACCCTTGCAGCAGGTGAGTGAAGGCAGCACCTACGATGCCCTTCCCCACTGCAAGGACACAGAAGTTCCCAGTTCCCGCCCCTTTCTCCATTGAGGGTCCCAAATCAGTGGGGGAGAAGCAACATTTTACACAGAGCCCACAGTACTTCCTACGCCTTTAGGGAAGGGTCACAGTACAGTGAAAACACTGCAGAGGAAGCCAGGACTTAGCCAAGTAGCAGAGAGCACCGAGCCTAAGGCTGAGTCTGATGGCTCCTGTGACAGTCCATGACAAACTCTAACTGTTGCCCATCATGGGCTAGAACACATCAAATCGCAGTCAAGTCTGACACGTTAGTCTTTCATCAAGGAAAAAAGATGAACTTGACAGATGTCATAAAAAGCCCCCGATCTTCACAGATCCTATCGCTACTGTTGAAGAAAATATCCTCTGGGCACTTAATAACAATTCCGATAACTAAAACTGAAAAAATTAGCGTTTTATACTTTTTCTGTAAATGAAATAGCTATTAAAGTCTAAGAAAAAAAATCGAGAACTTCTAAAGAAAAACTTACCCCTGTGACTCGAGCAATTTTGAACATTCCATAAGCATAAAGCTCGATAAATCCAGAGCTTCCTCCAAGGACAAGAATATTAAGCCTAATTAAAAATAAATGCAACAAGCTGAGGACTAGCTGACAACAGAAATGACTGCATTCTTAAAACGAGTTGTAAATTTCATGGCTCTCATATAACCTACATGCTAACGCATCCCACCAGGGGACGAAGCCACTAACACTCACAGCCAGTAACGTCACACTTATTCCTTTATGTTTTCCCCAAAAGAACAAAAATTTCCGCTAGCCTAAAAAAGTTAATAAAAATATATTATCAACAATATATATTAGTTGATTGATTGAGAGGTTTTTGTTAAAATTTCATGGCTCTCATATAACCTACATGCTAACGCATCCCACCAGGGGACGAAGCCACTAACACTCACAGCCAGTAACGTCACACTTATTCCTTTATGTTTTCCCCAAAAGAAAAAAAATTTCCGCTAGCCTAAAAAAGTTAATAAAAATATATTATCAACAATATTTATTAGTTGATTGATTGAGAGGTTTTTTTTAAAGAGCGTGTGCGCTCGCCAGACAGAGAGACAGAAAGTGAGAAATCACCCCGCCCCTGTGGGGATAGCCACGCCACAATCCCTTCTCCTCTCGGGATCTTGGGCATGCACACACACAAGCCTGGCATAAGTTTAGGCCACTGGCATGCACACACACACGCCTGGCATGAGTTTAGGTCACTAGGTCCAGAACTCGAATTGCAGTCGACTACATGGGAATCTAGTGACATAGCCATTACGCCAACAACTGGTCCCACAATTATATTTAGACATAGCCATTACGCCAACAGCTGGTCCCACAATTATATTTTTATACTCTCAATAGCAAAACAAATCTTTATCCAGCTAATAAACGCCATCCATTTATCATGGCTATGAGGCTGAATATATTAAATGGACTTAAAGAACTTGGATATATCGGGGCTGGCAGGTGGCATGGTGGTCGAGACACTGGACTCCCACACTGCTGACCACAGTTCAGGTCCCGGACCTGGCGGCTTGCATTCTCGCTTTCCCTCTCTCTCTAGCTCTGGTTAAAATGAAAATAAACAAATAAATAATTCTTTAAAAATTTAAAAAGAACTTTTTAAAAAAAAATTTTACTTGGAGACTCTAGTATATTTCTTTTATTTCTTATTAAAATAAACAAAAGGAGGGACCAACAGGTGGTGTGGTGGTTAAGGTGCTAGACATTCCCCCATGGCCAACCATGGTTCGAGTCCCGGACCTGGTGGCTTGCTTTCTCTCTCTCTCTCTCTGGTCAAATTAAAATAAATGAATGAATAAATGAAATAAAATAATTCTTTAAATAAATAAATAAACAAAGGGAGACTGGGTGGTGCCGCAGCAGTGACACATGACACCCTGTGGGGCTGACACACACGAAGACTCCGGGTACACATCCAGGGGCCTCCCTGAGGATGCTGCACATGCGCGTGCCCACTGTCCAAGCCGGCTGGAGCTGGGTGGACGGCAGAGCCCAGACCCTGCGGAGGGTGCTGTCTCTTGCTCAGGAAGGAAGTAAACTTTTACAAATACACAAAGATGTAAATAAACAAAGATGCGCTATAATACTGCCAAAAGTGACAAAAGACCATCCAATAAAAACTGTGACAAATATTCATGTCTGTGCATCACCCAGAGGTGCTGATGTCATCAGAGAAATATGACAAAGGACTTTCTCCTGAAGCATCTGAAAACGGCCTCGACTGTGCCACATCAATATTTATTCCCACTTACTTAGCGCTATACAATTTAAATGATACTTCGTGAAGTTTTCTGCAGGATTTACCTGACATCTCCCAAGAGTTTAATAATTTCATCCGAATTTTCTTCACTAAAATAGAGAAATAAGTTAGGTCACCTTTCAGCTATTATCTTTCAAATAATAAAAGGTTATCTTACTTGGAAACGGAAGCATAGCTTACCTAAATATTTTTGAGGTGTTGCTATAACTAGAAGAAAACAGAGAGTAGGGTAAAAAATACTCTTCGTATAAGGAATACCCTCTTCAGAACACGAGAAAATTGTCCCAGTGTGAAAGCAGAGGCAGAGAAATCTGCAAGATTAATCCCAAACAAACTGGTACATACTTTTTTGGCAATGTAGGTAGTTTAGGTAGAAGAAGATTTGATTCATCCTCAGCATTATAAAAGGATGTCAGAACACTAAAAAGGAAAAAAAAATGATAAAAAACACTGACAATTACTTACTTTTCTTTCCTTCAAAAAATAATTCTAAAAATAGAAACCCAGTTTTAAAAAGTTACCAAATAAACAGATGTCACAAATAGTTTCCTATTTTAAGACAGTCACTGAAACGATCACAAATGAGAAAAAAAAAATTATGAAGTTTTGTAACTTGTGCACAAAAAAACAGCTTACGTAATTTACATTTTCAGAGGAATTAATATTAATGAACAAACTTCTCAGTATATGAAATGTGTTCATATATGTTCGGTATTCAGGTACCGACTGAGACTGTATGACTCCTTAACTCCCATTTAAGAACCCACAGGGAACAGCAGGTGGCGTGGTGGTTAAGGGGGCTGGACTCCAACATGGCCGACTGCAGTTTGAGTCCCGGACCTGGCTTTCTCATATTTCCTCTCTTACTCTATCCTTCTTTGGTCAAATTAAAATAATAAATACATACATTTAAATAAAATAATTCTTAAAAAAAAGAAAATAGAACACACACTAAACGTATGAACACTAAGAGTAGTTTTAAGGAGCACTGCAATTATCGTGTCATTTAATTACTGGCTCTTTTGTGCGTGTGTGACATAGAGAAGGAGGGAAACAGGAAGGAAGAGAGGAGGGGAGAGGGGACGCACATGCTGGCAGGCGACACCGAGGAAGGGAGTCTCTTCGGCATAGACCCCTTTCTCCACCTCTCTGGCTCCCCGAGACCTTGCACGTTTCGAAAGTGTGTCAGGAACATAGTTAGCAGGTAACTGGGCTAGAATAGTAATCACACGGCGTGCTCCTCTCCTCTGACTCCCAGAGAGCTACAGACCCATCTGCCATTCTCGATTATTTGATGGTGGTTTATCTACGTGAATTTCAGTCCCCAGGCAAGATCCTTGTCATCCACTGCTTTCAGGCCCCCCTTAGCAATGTGGTCAATGAATATTCAGAATTTACAAATGCATTTCCCATTAACTTAGTGAATCTTGATTAGAAAGGACAATCAAAGGAAAGAAAATGATCACATTTCCCCAAAAAGGGAAAAGAATTCTGGTTTTTAGGATTAGCCAAATCCACTGTTCTTGGGCTTCCTTCACCACAAGGCATCTTATTCCCTACATCCGCTAAGGCCAAGTGCTCCCAGGGAACGAACAGTCAGGACCACGGACAGAAACACCCCATCATTTTCTACACTCAAGCGTATTCTCTAAGACACCAAAACCAAGCTCCAAATGGATAAACTGTGAAATGAAAAACAAAATATCAGTCTGCTATCAGTAATTCCAACTACTATTACTCGAAAACACAAGTCACTGATATAAACTATTGAAAATAACTACAAAGAGGTGAAAATTCTTCACCGTTCAGGCATAATTATGTCAATAAGAACATGTTACTTTCTTCTGAAAAAGATCTCGCAATGCATTAAAAGATTTAATCTCGGGCCAGCAGGTGACATGGCAGTTAAGACACTGGATCCCACATGGCTGACTCCACAGTTCGAGTCCCAGACCTGGTGACCTGACAATCACATACAGTGCATGTGTATGCATGCCCAAAATCCCGACAGGAGGACAGAGAAGGGACTACAGCACGGTCATTCCCCTGGGCGGTGATTTCTCACTTTCCTTCTCTCTTTGCCTCTCTCTGGAGAGTACATGCACCCTATGGCAAAACAAAACAAAACAAAAAAAAACCTTTAAAAACCTGAACCAGCAGATGGTGTAATGGCTACATCACTGAACTCCCATGTAGTTGACCACAGTTTGAGTCCCAGACCTGATGGCTTAAACTCAAGCCAGGCGCATGTGCGTGCGTGCCCAAGATCCCAAGAGGAGAATGGAGGAGAAGGGATCGTGGTGTGGCCATCCCACCCTGGGGGGTAATTTCGCGCTTTCTGTCTGTCTCTCTGTCTCTCCCTGTCTTTCTGGCGATCATATGCACCCGACAGCAAAAAACTCTCTCAAAAAAAATTTTTTTTAATAATAAATATCACCTTGATAAATTTAAAACCAAAAATTTTTGAAATTGCCAGATGGCACTTGCACTTGCCAAAGACAGAAAGGAAGAGAGAGGGAAAAAGGAGTCCTCAGGAGAGCAGAGTTAGCAGGTAACTGGGCTAGAATAGTAATCACACGGCGTGCTCCTCTCCTCTGACTCCCAGAGAGCTACAGACCCATCTGCCATTCTCGATTATTTGATGGTGGTTTATCTACGTGAATTTCAGTCCCCAGGCAAGATCCTTGTCATCCACTGCTTTCAGGCCCCCCTTAGCAATGTGGTCAATGAATATTCAGAATTTACAAATGCATTTCCCATTAACTTAGTGAATCTTGATTAGAAAGGACAATCAAAGGAAAGAAAATGATCACATTTCCCCAAAAAGGGAAAAGAATTCTGGTTTTTAGGATTAGCCAAATCCACTGTTCTTGGGCTTCCTTCACCACAAGGCATCTTATTCCCTACATCCGCTAAGGCCAAGTGCTCCCAGGGAACGAACAGTCAGGACCACGGACAGAAACACCCCATCATTTTCTACACTCAAGCGTATTCTCTAAGACACCAAAACCAAGCTCCAAATGGATAAACTGTGAAATGAAAAACAAAATATCAGTCTGCTATCAGTAATTCCAACTACTATTACTCGAAAACACAAGTCACTGATATAAACTATTGAAAATAACTACAAAGAGGTGAAAATTCTTCACCGTTCAGGCATAATTATGTCAATAAGAACATGTTACTTTCTTCTGAAAAAGATCTCGCAATGCATTAAAAGATTTAATCTCGGGCCAGCAGGTGACATGGCAGTTAAGACACTGGATCCCACCTGGCTGACTCCACAGGTGCCACAGTTCGAGTCCCAGACCTGGTGACCTGACAATCACATACAGTGCATGTGTATGCATGCCCAAAATCCCGACAGGAGGACAGAGAAGGGACTACAGCACGGTCATTCCCCTGGGCGGTGATTTCTCACTTTCCTTCTCTCTTTGCCTCTCTCTGGAGAGTACATGCACCCTATGGCAAAACAAAACAAAACAAAAAAAAACCTTTAAAAACCTGAACCAGCAGATGGTGTAATGGCTACATCACTGAACTCCCATGTAGTTGACCACAGTTTGAGTCCCAGACCTGATGGCTTAAACTCAAGCCAGGCGCATGTGCGTGCGTGCCCAAGATCCCAAGAGGAGAATGGAGGAGAAGGGATCGTGGTGTGGCCATCCCACCCTGGGGGGTAATTTCTCGCTTTCTGTCTGTCTCTCTGTCTCTCCCTGTCTTTCTGGCGATCATATGCACCCGACAGCAAAAAACTCTCTCAAAAAAAATTTTTTTTAATAATAAATATCACCTTGATAAATTTAAAACCAAAAATTTTTGAAATTGCCAGATGGCACTTGCACTTGCCAAAGACAGAAAGGAAGAGAGAGGGAAAAAGGAGTCCTCAGGAGAGCAGGGTCATGCCGTAACCCCTCCTCCTACATCTTCCATCTTCCTGCTTTTGGGATACATACACGCATGCACCTGGCATGTTTTTCATCCAGCAGGTGTGCTATTCAAAGTGCAGTTGGCCACATCGGACGTGGTTCCCTTAACCACTAGGCTGTGGGGCCTGCCTGTAAAATCAAAATTGACATGCAACATACCAACATTCAACATCATAGGCGCCTAAGTTTCTACAAGAACAAATGAACAATTCGTGACCGCCCTATTGAGACTGTGAAGTTTTCCTTTTCTGATTCACCTGCTTTCTACAGTCACTTCCATCCAGTGCATACAGGAGACTGGAGCCTCCACGGAGAAGGAGTGCAAGCTCTCCGGCTTTTCTACATCACACAGAACGATCTTCTTGGTGTCAGCAAGAGCAAAGGCCAAGACTAAAACAAGAAAAAAATCAACAGAATTACTACCACGGGTGAGAAAAATGGGTGTTTCACTTACGGACCAGTTCTTCCGCTTTAAATAACTCTTGGTCATGGAAATTGTATAACTTAAAAAGTCTTCCTTCAAAAGGTATTTTAGGGCCAGCAGGTGGCATGGTGTTAAGGGTGCTGGATTCCCACATGGATGACCACAGTTCGAGTCCTGGACCTGGTAACTTGCTTTCCCACGTTCCCTTCCTTTCTGCCTCTCTCTCTGGTCAAATTAAAAATAATAATAATACTAACAAATTAAATAAAATAAATATTTTTTAAAAAGAGATCTTTGCATGTAGCTCCATTGTTACCTAAGCTTATTTTCAAGCACTGAAACTTCATGGGCAATCTACCACTTTCTCACGTGGTTCTTAATATTGTGCTTACATTGTCCTCCACACTGAATGTCTAGACTGGAACCCTGTGGTCAAGCAGAAAACACAGAACAGGTCTCGACAGAGACTACTCTTATCAGGCCAGCAGGTGGCGTGGTGGTTAAGGAGGCTGTACTCCACATGGCAAACCACGGTTCAAGTCCCGGACCTAGCATCTTGCTTTCTCACTTTCCCTCTCTCACTCTCACTCTGTGCCTTTCTGGTCAAATTTTATATAGAACTATAAATAAATAAATGTTAAGTAAAATTCTTCTTTAAAAAAAAAAAACAACAACTAATCTTATCACCAAGACACACTGATCCCATAAACTTGTCTAAAAGGTAAGAAGTGATTTCAACTGCTTTTTTCGTGGAAGGCTTTTTAATGTTCATTTACATTTCAAATCCATAAAGGGAACATGGCCTTTGCACTGATGGATCTCATTCTTCTGAGTGGCTGAGTTACCCAGTCCAGCGTCTGCACCTAAGTCAGTATCGTCCCCACACGTCCAAGTGACCAGTTCCACTTGGAAGGCAGTGAGCGTCACCGTGTGCAACTGTGCCAGATCTGAGGTGGTCTCGGCATCTCTTCTTAGAAACAATTTAAAGCAATCTTGAAATGATCATAATCTAAAAAAAAAAAAAAAAAGATCCAAAACCAAGATATACTTTTAAAAATATTTTTTAAAGAATTATTTTATTTAACTTTATTTATTCATTCATTTATTTATTTATTTTAATTTGACCAGAGAGGGACAGAGCGAGAGAGAGAGAAAAGGGGAGGGGAATTTTTAAGCATTTGTACCTACATAGAAAAAATAAATGCAGCGATAAGGAGCACATTATCATTTTACACACACAACTCACTTTTTTCTTATGGCACCAGTGACCTGGATGAGCGTGAAGCCGTAGGACTCACACAGTTACTGGTACTGTGTGTGCACAACAGCTCACGAACGGAGCGTCACCGTAAAGACAACGCGTGGGAGCCATGACAAGGCCATGATGGCATGGCACTGAGGAGTGAGCGGCAAGGGTACAGGACAACCGTGGGAAGGATGAAACCTAACTATTCCGTATACGCCATCGGAGTTCACTCCCGACTCAGCTTTGCCAGGAAGCTGGCTTTCATGTCAGAGCTATCTTTGCCAAGAAACACGATGGCGGAATTAATCTTAGTACCAGGAAAAAACTTAAACGCAGTATAAAAAAAAATTCCCAAACTGGCATATTTACTAAGGATAAATTCTCCCTGAAAATAAGCTTTCTTTATGGAATACTCTGTAAAAAAAAAAAAAATACATTAGTTTTAATAATATTAATTACGTTTGCCATCTGGTCTCCAAGCCAGACAGGTCACCTCCTTTCCTGTATTTTCATTCGGTGGGAAACTCCAAACTCGATGGAAACTTGCAAGTCGATGAAGTAAAACCTTAGGGAAAAGATAAAGCGGCAGAAAATTTAAAAATCCATTTCAAAAGATAAAATCAACCTAGAATCCCCACTCTGACTTTTCTAATTGTTCTCTTACGTGTAATATTAAGCTACCAGAAGAACAGAGGAAGATCACCGCTCTGGTTTGAATGCACCCCCAGAGCCTACGGGACAGTGGCTCTGTCATAAATGACGGTGTTAGGAGGTGGGCTCCCTTATTCACCAGGTGTGTTCATGGCCAGAGAGACAGAAAGACGATGAGCACCTCCACCCGGACATGACCGCACTGCGATCCCTTCTCCTCCACCCCTTCATCTTGTTGAGATTCTATGCACGCACACAGGCCTAGCATATTTTTAAGCCACCAAGGCCAGGATTCAAACTGTCATCCATGTGGGATCTGGCCTTCTTAACAAGTAGGCTAGGCCAGTCAGAGAGGGGCGGTCTTTAAGATACAATTACATTAGGAACAGCTGTTGGTGTCACGGTGATACAATTACATTAGGAACAGCTGTTGGCGTCACGGTTATGTCGCTGGACTTCCAAAGAGTCAACCGCGGCTCGAGTCCCAGACTTGGTGGCTTAAAACTCATGCCAGGCACATGTGTGTACATGCCCAAAATCCAGAGAGGAGAGTGGAGGAAGGACTGTGGCATGACCATGCTCCTGCTGGGGGGCGGGGGTGATTTCTCACTTTCTGTCTGTCTTTCTCTGGTGAGCACCCACTGGGGGGATGGTCATGCCACAATCCCCTCTCCTCCCATCTCCTCTCGGGATCTTGGTCATGTGCACACACGCGCCCAGCATGAGTTTAAGCCACTGGTTCTGGGACTCGAATGCAGTGGGCTACGTGGGAGCTCAGTGACACAGCCATTCCGCCATCTGCTGGTCCCTCCATGCTCACTCTTCACGGTGACCTGCACTGACACCAACCCATCTGCTGGCACCAATCCCGTTAACACCTTCCTTGCTACTGCTGTGGCTGGACTATATGGACTGCTCTCTAAGGTCACAGCAGAGGGCCCAGTCAGTGGGTTGTGCTGACCAACGGCTGGGTCGCACAAGGCCAATTGCACTACTCGAGTCCTGGTCTGGCGGCTTGAAAAACACACTGGGCACGTGTGCATGCGTGTCCAAAATCCGGAGAGAATGGAGGAGAAGGGACTGTAGCAAGGCCACCCCCCATCCCGGGGTGAGTGCTTGCTCGCTCGCTCTCTTTCCTCGGTCTCGGCCAACTGCATGAGCCCTATAGCAAAATTAAAATAAAACAACAAAGTTGTTTCAGAATTTCAAAGGAGGAGGAAGACAACTAGCTGTCACGGAGGGGTCAGAGAAAGTAAACATCAACACCCTTGGCCATGGCGTCAGCGCAGACAACACGCTGCAGTTTTGCAGAAGTTGCCCCTGCCACCTAACGCCCAAACATGCGTGCCACTCGGCAAAGCTGTCAAAGGAAAACAGGAAAAAGAAGCAGCGGTGAAGGTTTCCTTACAATATGGCTGTCCGGCGCTAAGCCCTCTGAGAAGGCTGGACTGGATCAGGTCGAACCTGGTGAAGGGTGACACAACGTGAACTACAAGTACTAGCTGAAGGCCACTATGCACGTTCTGCCAGGAACCCGATGCACCATCCCCTCCCTGCTCCACCTAAAGGTATTTTTAATTGGGGGAGCTATCCGTCTATCCTGTAAAACTCTTCTGGAGCAATGCACGTGAACCTTCGCAGCGGAATAACTCTTTCCTGTGTCTAACTGGAAGGGAACCCGGGGCAGGGTCTGTGATCTGCGCATCAGGTGTTTAAAGCCCATGCACCGCTACCTCGGTGAATGAATGGAGGCTGGGGCTGCAGTGCCGTGCGACCTGCTGGGCGCTGTAAAAACTGTGGCTTCGGGCCTCGGACTCCAGCAACGGGCGTACAAATCACCCCGCACGCCGGTCCTCCACTCCTGCACCGGGGTCCCCAGGATCCCGGGGCAGGGCGCGAGAAGCAGGTGCCCGGCGCAGGGCGGACGGAGCTCGGGCTCCCCGGCCAGCCGCGAACGGCCCGCCG